TACATCTGCAGAACGTGAAGAACTAGTGGCATCTACATCTGCAGAACGTGAAGAACCAGTGGCATCTACATCTGCAGAACGTGAAGAACCAGTGGCATATACATCTGCAGAACGTGAAGAACCAGTGGCATCGACATCTGCAGAACGTGAATAACTAGTGGCATCTACATCTGCAGAACATGAAGAGCCAGTGGCATCTAGAGCTGCAGAACGTGAAGAACCAGTGGCATCTACATCTGCAGAACGTGAAGAACCAGTGGCATCTACATCTGCAGAACGTGAAGAACCAGTGGCATCTACATCTGCAGAACGTGAAGAACCAGTGGCATCTTCATCCACAGAACATGAAAAACCAGTGGCATCCATATCTGCAGAACGTGAAGAACCAGTGGCATCTACATCTGCACAACATGAGGAACCAATGGCATCTACATCTGTAGAACGTGAAGAACCAGTGGCATTTACATCTGCAGAACATGAGGAACCAATGGCATCTACACATGCAGAACGTTTACCAGTGGCATCTACATCTGTAGAACATGAACCAGTGGCATCTACATCTGCAGAACATGAGAAACTAGTGGTATCTACATCTGCAGAACATGAAGAACCAGTGGCATCTACATCTGCAGAACATGAAGAACCAGTGGCATCTACATCTGCGGAACATGAAAAACCAGTGGCATCTACATCTGTGGAACGTGAAGAACCAGGGGCATCTACATCTTATGGGATATTATAAAGCTATTAAAACCATTACCCTGTGTTGAGTGTGCATGCTGTACAGCGCATTTGTAATCGACAGGAGTAAAGTTGGACTTGCGAACAAATCGACTTACGAACAGACCTCTGGAACCGACTCGTTCGTAAGGAGTCAGAAGTCACTCTACAGCGCACACGAGATATATAAGAAAAGAGAGCAATTACCACGCTCACACCACCACCATAATAATCTTTCTATATATATAAAAGGGAAATTTGTGAATGTGTGTCTGTTCGAAATGTTTAGCGTACTTCCCAACATGCAACAAACTTGAAATTTGGCATGTGGGGTAGCTTCCAGACTGTACACAATGCAAAAAAGATAAAATAGACTTGTATTTTGGGGGGGGGGGGGGGGGCGCAATAATGGATATATTTTTCACGGCAAGTGAGCGGTGACGTCACATCTGTGATGTCACCCGCATGTGGCAGCGTCACGCAGTGTGCCTGCTGACGTCACGCATCCCCCCCCCCCACCCTCCGCGTAGGCCGTGTATTACCGTAATCCAAGAAAAGAATCCAAGTCTCGGGCGAAGCCGGGTAGTACAGCTCGTTATTTTATAAAGCGCCTTTTGACAATGAAATATCTCAACGCTCTGTACACTATTCTATTATAAAAGCTCGGCGTTCTGTTTGTTCGTCAACTAAATTAAAAAAGATCCTTTCAGAAGGCCTGAAAGAAAACAGTTATAGAGAGTGGGACCCCCACCTCTCTTTGGGGGTAAAAAGTTGATCCTGCCGCTTTCCAAAAATTGTTGATCCCCCTTCCCTCCCCATAAAACCATACAGTAAGCAGATGGACTTCTCCACAAATCTGTCTGTCGCCTGATGAAGCTGGTTGTAATTACTGGCGAAACGTTGTACTCAGATTGTAAATGTTGTGGCTTGGTTCTCCAACACATTGGTGTGCTGTACTAGTAACGAATTGGCACATTCCGTTTATGCGACAAACCTTACTTACTTGGCTGTGTAGGGTGGTGGCGGGTTTAACGACACATTTATATATGTTTACGCGATCTAACCCGTAAAACATCAGTTATGGATGATGTTGGTGGCGAAAGCCTACCACGTGTTCAACTGAGTAAACCCTTGTTTATTCGACACATGGGGCTCTGTCCTTGCCGAATTATCCAATATTGCCAGTGCCTCCTGCCTCCAAATTTGTTTTCCAAAAATAATTTTCCACAAAAGCAACACTTACCGACGGTAACCGGCACTCCAGGCGAAGGAGGAGGATGTGGTAGGTTCCATGTGGAAGGTAACGGAGGTCGTGGAGGAGTGCTTAATGCACTTAATATGCACTTAATGTAATCTATGTTCACTTTGTCACTAAATTATAACTGAAACACCAAATGACACTAACTTAAACTTCACGTGTTTCACTTAAACAATACATTTTTTGACTTGAAGACGACGTTACTCGACGCCTTTACACCACATCACGTGCCGTCCGGCGACATCGGCTGATGTGGCACTTCACCGCTGACGGCGGTGTCTGCAGAAGAATATCCAGAGGCTGATGAAGGCACCGCACTGGGGGCTTCACTGCTGGTAGAATGTGGCCTTACGCCTGGGTGGCAGTGGCGGGCCTAGTCGCTCCACGCGTTTATGCCGAAAATGGGCCATTCGTTACGGCAATTCGGCTCGCGGCGAATTGCGAATGCGCCGTGCCGGCCGAAAGCGCGGCCCCGCCGAGTTATCCCCAGTTACGAGTGATCAAATACCGAAATAACGAGGTGTTTTACTCTATTTGCCTACACACGCCCTATGTGCGGCAGAGCCCAGCTTTCTTTCGTGGGCAGGGGCTAAAATGAGGCGGCCGAAATTCTGGTAGCACATGAAAAAAACCGCACGCCACAAGTTGAGAGTAAAATCCAGCGTAAGTATGGTAATCGATAACATATGCCACCACATTCGTGGCCGGCACGCGGACCGTCGCACGTATACAGGCCCTTGTGTCAATCCACTGCCAGATGAGCGCCTCCCCGTGCGGGTAGCGGGGGGTTGTTTCGACCATACTTCACCACGCCGTCCTCCGTGCTAGCCGGCGAGAGCACGCATCGTAGGCCCGCCACAATGCACCTGGGTTGTACGCTGCCCGTGTTGTCTCTGTGTGTCTCGACTGTTGACGCGTTTGTGTCTCTGTGCCGGTCGCGAAAAACTTCGCCACCTCTAAGCGTCGCCGTCGGGGCGAACTCGCGCGCGCGGGACGACGCGCCGGGAGCGTGGGGTGGGGTGCTCTTTAAACCTACTCGGCGCCCCTTCCTTCCGTGCGTGCCCGGCCGCGACCACCCCATCGCCGGGCTGGTGGGAGGGGGCTTGGGCGGTGGTGGTGGCGGGGACGGGGGGTTTCGGTAAGGGGCGGGAGCCCGGTGGCTTGCGTGCGTTACGGTGCAGCATATTCCAACCGTTAAAAAGTGCACACTTTCTGCTGATGGAGAAAGAGGGCCCGGCGGGGTGTGGTTGGCCCCGTCGTCGGCGGGAGGCGGCGTTTCCTCCAACCTTTAAAAGCCTCGGGACCAGAGGGGCTTACAGTTTTTTGTTTTAAGCTCCGTCAAAACCCACCCGCCCCCACTGCACGAAGCACGCGCGGCCTCCTCGTCAAATCGGTAGTCCAGAAGGGAAAGCTGTTAATGCGCATATTGAAAAAATTTACAGAAAAAGTTTTTTTTCTTCAAGTTTGTCACGTAAACAGGACATACCAGTTCGTTTTGAGTACAGCACACCGGTGTGTTGGAGAGCACGTGACAAACCTTACTGATTGGCTCTGTCGGGTGCTGGCGGGTTAAATGACGCATTTAAATTTACGTGATCTAACCCCAAAAAAACCTATATTATGGATGATATCGGTCGCGAAAGCCGACGTGTTGAACGTTATTTTCTATGTCGGTCCCCGCTTTTAATGAGACGAATGAAATCCGTTGGTAAATTTCGCGGAGCGGTGCAAGGCCCATCGCGGTTTCGAGAGTGGCCCATTGAAGCGGACATCGCATAGCTACCTCTGAAGTCCCTCGTCCTCCTTCACGACGTGACCTCTGGTTCACACACAGTGGAGGGCGGCACTGCCCCACTCGCTCTGACCGAGAGCTGTGCTCGTCGCGTGACGCCCGTCAAGTGAACGGTCGCGCCGATATTTTTAATTCGCGCACTGGAGATGAGCCAAATTCAGTGCGGAGCCAAATTACATTTTGGCGGGTCCATTGTCTGAAGCCATCGGTGATTCGGCTGCGACGATAAACTCGCTGCATCGAAAAAACCCAGTTTTTTAATCACAACTCGGCCCGTGTGGTTCCGCGGATCTCCCGTGTGAGTGTGTGGGTCTCTGTGGGTCTCTGCATGAGTGTCTGAGTCTCCGCGTCAGTCTATGTGCCTTCGCGAAAACTTACGGCTCTCTTGTCTGAGTCAACGGTGACCGGGCTGAGACAATCCTTGATCGCAGTCAGCGGTGGCAGCGGCTCCGCATTGCCTATTTTATTATCATATTCACAGTCCCACTTGCGCATGTGCAACGCGTCCAATCAAATGTCAAGGATTATAAGTTAATGCCTCTTGAGCTTAGCGGTGGTTGCCCGGTGGTGGGAGTTTGTGTGTGATCCAAGGCCGCTGCATACGGCAGTACACCTTTTGATGGACGTGCACGTGTGTCTTTCCACGACGCTGCACACACACAGCCCTTTGGTCTATCCACTGCTGGGTGAGGGCCTCTCCACGTCTTCCACAACTGCGGGGGTGGTTTGACCGTACTCGGATCGCGCAGCGCGTTGTGGGCCGAGTGAAATGAACTCGTGAGCCTTGTATGGCCCATGGGCCGTATGAAATTAATTCGTGGGCCTTATCTAGCCCACGGGCCATGTGAAACGAACTCATGGACCTTATCTGGCCCATGGGCGATGTGAAATGAATTAATTGGCCTTATCTGGCCCGTGGGCCATGTGAAATGAAGTAGTGGGCCTTATCTTGCCCATGGGCTGTAAGAAATGAAGTAGTGGGCCTTATCTGGCCGATATATCATATTAAATGATGATGTAGTGGAATTCATCTGGCCCATTGGCCGTACGAAATTAACTCGCGGGCCTTATCTGGCCCACGAGCCACGGGAAATGAAGTCTCGGGGCCATGGTTTTGCAGCGAGGCCTCGCAGCTGCCCACCATGCTGCCCTCTCGCTGCCCTGGCTCGCTGCCCTCACGTTCTGCCGCCCTACCCTCCCCCACCACCACCCTCCCTGCCGCCCCTCCAGGGTCGCGCGTTTTCGCTTCCGGGGTGGAGGGGCCGACGCGTGACCCCGCCCCGCGATGGCGCACCGGCTCTCGGCCCGCGCTGGCCGGGCGGCGGCGTGCTGGGGAGACGGCCAGCGGGGGGCCCGGGGCCACGGAGGCCACGGGGGCCCCGGCGGCGGCGGCGGCGGCGGCGGCAGCGGCGGCGGGAGCCCCCCGCCGCCGGCTTCGCCCGTTCTGTCCTCCGCGGCGGCCGCTTCCCTGGCCTTGATGGCTGCGGAAGACAAAGCGATCATCTTCGATTTCAAGACGATGGCTGGCGGCCACCTGCAGGTTGGTGGGGGGTGGGTGGGGGGAGTGGTGACGAGTTGGCGCGCTACGACTGGTTGCCACCGTCGGTTTGACGCGTCGTGGGCTCTCGCAGCCGACGTTATTCACGATAAAGGTTGTTATTTTTTTTCACAATCAAAATATTTATTTGTACAGCCCATTTGCCAGATAAGGCCCCACTGCGTAATTTCACATGTCCCGTGGGCCACAAGAGGCCCACGAGTTCGTGTCACACGGCTCACAATGCCCTGTGCGATCGAGTACGTTCAAGCCACCCCCCCCCCCCCGCGGTCATGGAAGACGCCATACTGGAGGAATCCGATGAGCCATAAAGCTCTTTTTCACAGATGTCCGGTTAGGGGCACGGGGGTAAGAGCGTTGCAACAACATACAATGACAAAAACACGATAGGAGTGCAAAGTACAATAAAGGTGAAAAGATCACCCAAACACAAATACAACACTAAAGCAACCTCATCCGCCGTCACCCGATACAGCTGACAGGTAAGGTTTGTCACGTGAGAAAAACATGCGGATTGGTTATTTCCGCCCACCGGTTGCGTGTTGGGAGAGTAAATCCACGACATTTACAATTTGAGTACGACGTTTCGCCAGGATTTACAATTGGCATCAGGCGACAGCCAGACTCGTGGAGCAATCCTGTTTAGTTTTTAAGTAACGACAAGTTTATATTTACACGATCTCACCCAACAAAAACCTCTTCGTGGATATTGGTCGCGAAAGCCTACGTGTTAAACTTTACATCCTTGATTATCGTCAAGGGACCGATATAAGTCCCAATGAAGTTATCATTTTTCAGCCTTGCTCCATCCACTGCTGGATGAAGAGCTGCACACCGCGTGGTTCGGTATTTGAGCAAACTGCTGTAGGACAATCAGTTCCAAAGACAATGCGTCATATGTTATCGGGGCATGTTTTGTTTGCATGTTCACCACAGGTACCGTGTGTGGTTAATGCAGTTACTTGATGCCTTGCAGAAGCTATCTTATTTGGTGCTTGAACATCTTAACACGACTTCTGTTTTATGGCCAGAAAGGGTCAAAACTATTCTTGTTTTTTCTTACGATGATGTGGTGGTGGCAAAAAAATGCATCGCCACCACCACACAAGAAATCGTCAAAACAGGGCACAGACTTTAAATCGGTGTTGCGTAATAAGTTCCGTGTGGTGCGGGTTCGCTTGGGCAGACTTATTATTATATATTTTTAAGGGTGATCGTCGTCCCAAATTCAATTCGGGTTATCGGAGTGATTGAACGGATACACGGTGACCATTGCACCTGTGCCTGAACGGACACAGATTCATGGCAAATGCTCGCCCGAAATCGCTCGCGTATACGTACGTTGAACATCTTTTGTACCATCTTCTTTGGTTCTTTCGGTAAAGTCACGTAGAATGAGAATAAAATAATAAATTGATAAAATAAAATAACACAATAATATTCTCACGACGTTTCGGCCACAACACAAGCGGCCTTCATCAGGTGAAGGGAGCGAGACTGTCTGGTAGGACAGCGCTGGAGTGAGAGAGCCACGTTCAGATCACGGCTTTTAAGCTGTGTGAGAGGAACAAAGAGCCTTGACGAAGGAATTAGCATAAAATTTAGCATTGAAAAGGCTGAATGATTAGCTTGTGACTGGTCACAGAAATAGCTATGTTAAAAGTTAAAGCATACACATCCGCAGAGGCACCCATTGTTAAAAGGAATTAGCATAGAATTTAGCATTGAAATAGCTAAATTAAGGCATTCGCTTGTAACTGCTACAGAAATAGTTACGTTGAAGTCAGAGCATACACATTCACCGAGGCACTTAGTACAAATCAAAACAGGAGAATTTAGCATTGAAATAACTAGGCGAATTTAGCATTGAAATAACTGGGTGATTTGCTAGTGACTGGTCACAGAAATGACTACACATCTGAGCTATTCACAGTGCTATATAGTGAACCAATAAAAACTAAAATATAAATTACCTTCATGTTATCAATAAACTCTATATTCTCCAATCAGCTAAGCTACCAACCATAAGTCGTTATATATCACAATGCTATATGGCGAAAAAATGGGTGGATTCTTACCCTCAAATTTCCGTACCACGGATAGCTACGGGCCCCGTTCAGACGGACGAGTTCGTCCATGGTCGGAACAGAGGCGGGGGAGAGAGACAGCTGCGAAGCCCTAGTATACTCCATGTTGTAAACCATACCATTAACCGTGGTGTGAGAGGTATTAAGAGGCAATGCTGGCGAAAGAGCTGCGGTCTGAAGGTCATCGTAAAATTACAATTAATTAAGAACAGAAATGATTTAACACATCTTTCCAGTGGTTACTAAGCCTGAATCCATCTTCTCGGTTGAAATTGTCTCTGTGCTTGTATATGTGAATGGCCTCATGAACGAATCTCTCATGGTAGCCAGTTGGTTTGCAAAGAACCTCCGTCTTGGAGAAGTCAATGTCATGTGAGCCCACTGAATTGTAACAGTGATCTGCCACGGCAGAGGAGTTCGTCTTACCGTGTTTCAAGTCTGCTTTATGTTCGCGGATGCGGTCCGAGATATGTCTTTTGGTTTCTCCAATGTAGCTACTACCACAGAGGCACTTTAGTTTGTAAACGCCCGGGTACTGTATGTCTGGAAGAGCATCTTTTACAGATGGAACTAAATCACGGATTTTGTGTACTGTGTTGAATCGGACCTGGATCTTGTGTTTATTCAGGATTTTGGAGATCTTTTTAGTGACCCCTGCAATGTAGGGTAAGGTGATGGTTTTGAGTGGCTCCACAAGAGGATCCTTCTTCATGACTGGAGTGATGGCTTTGCGGATTGTGTAGTCGGAGTACCCATTAGCCCTGAGAGCCTGGTGTACGTGCTTGAGTTCACTGGTAATGTGTTCCTGGTCGGAAATGCATTGGGCTCTATGGTATAGAGTCTTGATGAGGCAGTTCTTCTGGGATGGATGGTGGTGGGAATCCGGTTTCAAGTAAGCATCTGTATGGGTAGCTTTCCTGTAGACAGAGTGGCTCATTGAACCATCATGTCTCCTTTTAATTAAGACATCCAGAAAGGGTAGTTTGCCATCTTTTTCGACCTCCATGGTAAATCTGATGGCTGGGTGTATGGAATTGATGTGGTCGCGGAATTGGTCTAGAGCAGGCTGGCCATGTGGCCAGATGACAAAGGTGTCATCAACGTACCTCTTCCATAAGGTCGGGCGTAGAGTGGCAGTCTGGATGGCGTCAGTTTCAAATTTTTCCATGAATACGTTGGCTACAACCGGAGATAGGGGGGAGCCCATTGGGGTGCCTTCAGTTTGTTTGTAGAAAGTTCCATTCCAGGTGAAGTATGTGTTGGTTAAGCAATGTCTCACCAGGGGGGGTACATCAGTATGCAGTCCTTGATGAACCAGGTCTTCAATGATAGCGATGGTGTCAGGTACCGGGACTTTGGTGAACAAGGACACCACATCAAAACTGACAAGCAGGTCGTTTGGGGACAGGGAAATGTCTTTGATTGTCGATACCAGGTGAGTAGAATTTAGTACCGCAGAGGTGGTTTTTCCAGTGAAAGGTCGCAGTATATCAGCCAGAAAACGTGCCAGTTTGTAGGTGGGGGAGCTGATAGTAGAGACGATGGGACGAAGGGATGTATCTTCTTTGTGTATCTTTGGAAGGCCATATAATCTTGGTGGTCTGGCAGCAGAGGGTTTCAACAAGAACTGTTTGTTCTCATCAATTAATGCTGTTGAATCAGAGATAATTTTCATAATAAAGGTTTTTGGGTTAGATCGCGTTTATTTATAAATGTGTCGTAACCCTCCACCACCCGACACGGCCAATCAGCAAAGAAAAGTGTCACGTTGACAAAAGACAAATAATTCACTACTTCAGCCCACCGGTGTGTTGAAGAGTTAATCCACATTTACAGTTTGAGTACGACGTTTCGCTGGTAAATACTTCCAGCATCATCGGGCAATTTGCCAGAATGGTAAAGCCCTCGCTTGCTCCCGGTTTTATATAGAGCAGAAGAGTGACGTCATCACTTAACTCATCAGGTGCAGTGATTAGAGGCGGAGGGGGGGGTAATGTAATTATATAATCGATTAGTAATCAGTCATTGGTTATGATTAGTAATGAGTTGTAGATTAGTAATTCTTTAAATCAAAATGTAATGTGTATTATTTAATAATACGCTTCCAGGCCGCACTGAGCCGGTAGCTGTCAGAGCGATTAAAGTTATTCTTGTTCCTCTCAATTTCAATGGATTCTCTAATTAGTCTTTGCCAGTAATAATTAGTTTTACACACCACTGCAACATTGTCAAAATCAATTGAGTGTCCTTGTTGACAAGCATGTTCTGCCACTGCCGACAGTTGTGTTTGAGACAATTTAATATTTCTCTGATGTTCTTTTAGTCTTACGCTGATGTTACGTCCCGTCTGCCCAATGTAGCAGCTGCCACATGAACAATTAATCCGATATACACCTTCTGTTGATAGTTTAGGTAATGCGTCTTTAGTGCAAGATACTAGTTTTTGAATTTTGTGTACTGTACCAAATCTTACTGTAATGTTTTGCTTTTGCAAAACGCGGGCTAATTTGTCAGTTACTCCTGAGATATATGGAATTTTTATTGTTTTAACAATCTGGTCGCTTTCAGTAGTATTGCTTTGCGATCGTGATTTGGCATTCAGTGCTCTGTTAATTTGAGCATTATTGTAGCCATTCTGTCGTAGTGCGTCTTTAACGTGTTTAATCTCTCTCACTAGACTCTCACCATCTGACACTGTTTTCGCCCGATGCACGAGCGTCTTAATAAGAGAGGATTTTTGAGCTGGATGATGATGTGATTCTGCATTCAGATAGGCATCAGTGTGCGTTTGCTTTCTGTAAACGCTGTGTGTTATTTTACCGTTTAGGCCATGTCCAAGCAAAATATCTAGGAATGGGAGTGTATTATTCACCTCCATTTCCATGGTGAACTGGA